ACTCAGCCTCCGAAAAGGGTCTGGTGTCTGCCTGAATGTCGAGAGCTTTAATTTCTTCGAGTAGAGCTTCCCTAGCTCGCTTTGCCTCGCTGCCGTGATTTGCTCCCCACCCACGAAGGAAACCACGCAGGGCGCCGGCTGCCGAGATCCAAGTGTCCAAGGGACCCCTGGAACAGCCCCTCGAAGTTTTGGCACGCTCCCAACGAGCGAGAAGCAAAGGGATGAAACCCTCTACCTCGAACCACCCTGATTCGAAGTAGAACCGCTTGCTACGCGTGATCCTGTCCTCCCCAGAGGACAAGTTCAACGGCACGTGGTCAGAACCGATGCGGGTTTCCACGACCAGGGTGCACATGGGAAAGATTATTTCCCAGTCAGACGAGACAAACACACGGTCGAGGACACTACGGATCGGATTGAGTTGTTTGTTGGTCCACGTATACCTGGCCCCAGCCCGAGCGAGCTCACGTAAGGCGCAGGCCGCAATGGCGTTGTTGAAAAGGGAGATCCTATTCCAGTCTATGTTGTCATTGTTCTTGTCTGCACTCGACCGGATGAGGTTAAAGTCGCCACCAAGGACAATAGGAATGTTAGCAGCTTGCTTGGCCCCAACCAAGGCTTGAATTTCGCGCAAGAAATCGGCCGACCGCGAGTGATCGGCCGGACCGTAGACACAAACAATCGCCCAGGTGGCGAGCGAGGTTCTATGCTTAATCGTTACAGCAATGAAAAAAGAACCAACGTCCCAGGTTACAATGTCACACACATCAGAATTACATCCTAGAAGAAGACTGCCCGAATGACCCGCGGAAGGTACCCAACCCCACACGAAACGGTGAAGAGGATCGTAAGCCGAGAGATCCCGATAAGTAAAGTCTACTTTGATAGTCTCTTGGAGAGCTACGACGTCAATGTGTTCGCGAGCAATATACTCCCTAAGTTGCGTGCGACGGCCCGAGTGCCCGCAGCCCCGGATATTCCAGAATATGTAACGCATCAGATGATACGATTGCGAAGGCGAACCCCCCTGGAGGTCACCGGTTTTGCCACTCGTTTCTTAGCCGGGGCACGGCTAGTCGTAGGCGCTGCAGCAATCTCCCTGGTTGCAGCAGCACCCTCCGACAGGAGCAGGGTGGGGGAATCCGCAGACACGAGGGGGGCGGGGTTCTCCACCGACGTGTCCGCATCTTCCCTGGCCTTAGCCGCCGCAGCGGCTTCGGCCAGAGCCGCTTGGGCCTCCTCACGAGCACGAATAAGGGACACAAGCTCCCCACGGTTCTTGCCTAAGTCGAAACCGCTATCGTCTAAGATCGAAGCAATTTGAGGATTGGTTAACGCGTTCAGAATCTTAAAGGAGGGGGGTGGATTACCTGAGATTTCCATGTTCTTATCAGCCAGGCGGAGTTGCGCGCTCTCCAGGGAAGATAGGTCACCCAGCGCCGCTTTGGCCCGAGCGCTGGGCGCGCGCTGAGGGACCGGGGACGCCCGAGAGCGGCGCGCCTTGGCCGCCGTGCCCGCAGAGCCCAATGCAGCCTGAAGATCCACCATGGCCGGCGCCACCAGGGACGGGAGCGCGAGCGTGGCGAGCTTGGCAGTAGGTTTCCGCCCGGCCGACTTTTTGGGCGCACGACCAGATCCCCCCGAGCTGCGGCGGCTGGACAGCGGGGTGACAACAGCTGGCTCATTGAGCACCACGCCTGAGTCCGAACCCGGCAGACGAGGGGAGGCAGGCCTGTCAGTCAGCGCCAGACGGTCGACCGCAGGCAGCTGCGCCGAGCCCACCAAGTTGAAAGCCCCCACCAAGGCGCGGGACGGGGGTGGGCTGCTCCCAGCCGTGTCCGCAGTCGCCAGGGCCCCGGGCAACGCGGGCTCCTTCCCCTCGTCCAGCGCCAGCTCTTGAATGCCCAGCTGATTCCAAGTCTCGGTGTCGATCGACGTATCGGGCAGACTGTCCTCAGGCTCTGCATCCTGGCCGGCCATGTCCACGTCCATAGCGCGACCCGATCCACCAGTGGAAAGGCCACCCTTGGCCCCACGGTCAGGCCCCTGCGGGCCGGCAGACCCGCCGGTCCCCGAACCAGGCGGGCCGCCATTCTTGTCTCCCGAGTGTGGGGGGTTGTTGTTGGGACCAGGCGCCGCCGGTCCATCCCCAGGGCGCGTAGGCAGTTTCTCCACCTCCACCCGGATGTCATAACCCTCATGATTGAACCACACTTGCACAAACCCGTTCATCTTGTCAGGAGCACGAACACCAAACTTCATCCTCACCGGTCCCACCCGGATAAGGGAACGATCATCCACCACGATCGGCCTTCCCAGCATCTTGAGCCCCTCCATCAGACGATCAGCACGGCGGTGCTTCTTGGGGATGCCATGGAGGCGAAGCCACACCTCAGGCATGTAGAGGGGGGTAATCGCTTCCTGGATCGAGTCACGCACCAAAACCGTAATGTCATGGATGGAGAGGAAAAGTTTACCACTTGTCTTGGCCATGTGCAGCAGATCAGCAGACGGGAACACCACCGCAAAGTCATTGTCGCTCACTTGTTCAATCTGCTAATCCCAATCACCCGCCACCATGTGCTTGAGTTCCTGTTTGAGCACACCCAACGAGAGCCTCCCTGGCTCCGCTGAGAGGATGGCACCATTGACAACCTTCGAGGCCTCTGCGACGGCCTGCGAGTCCTCCTCAAACTCCATACAGAAAAAGCCCTCGCCCGGGATAGCGCTGCCCATGATCTGGAGGAGCGGCTGCTTACCCCGCGAGGGACAGTAGGCCGACGCATGGCCCTCCAACTTGCAGATCACACAGAGTGGGAGGAAGGTACACTTGGCCTGGAAATGACCGGTCCGGCCACATTTGAAACATTCTCCTCCCTCCTCCTCGACCGGAATGGGGGCGGCCGCCGAGCCCCGCGGCGCATCGACGGCAGCCACTACGAGCGGAGCAGTCCCAGCCCGCGCCTTCTTCGCCAGCGGGTCGCCATGGCCATCGCTAGAGGGGGAAGATCCTGTGTCTTGCGCTCCAGTTCACGCCGCCGAGAGCCATGCTTGCGCTTCTTCTTCTGTTCTTGTTGGCCCCACCATGAGGGAGGAGGACCCCAATCCCCCTCACGCCCTTGGAAGCCAGATCCAGAGTCCTGGCCCTGGAAACCACCATGCTCGCGCCCAGATCCGCCACCCTGACCGTGGGAGGAACCACCGCCGCCG